GTGCTAGACTACGGTCGCAATACTGTTGGGTTCGGCTACGGAACAGCGCACTGGCCAACGAATTGGAAGCGATAATAAAAGGAAAGGATCATCGCAATCGCAGGAGCAATGAAGAGCTCCTCGGCTATACCTGAGGAGCACCTGGGTGTCAAAAGAGCCGAATTTGCCCTGCTCTACGCTAGAGTGTTATGTTAACCTTACTCACGAATCAAGCAGAGCTTACACCTACGAGTAACCATAAAGGAAAACTTAACTGTACAAGCTAGATCTATCTAATACATGCAATTAAATCAGGTTTAGTCTGTGCCCATCAAACCTTACTTTTTCGTCCTACCTCAAAACACAGGTAAAAGGCATTTTTTTGACAAATTGGTAAAGGTTTTGGCTGCCAGTAGGTAACCTGATACTGTCTTGATTCTGATTTAAAGATCGCCGTCGGTTGGGGTTGCATCCTAATATTTCGCTAGCACGAGTGACGACTTTCTCCAAAGGTCCTTCCATCTCCGATACTGGATGTGGACTGGCGGCTTTTCCTGTGCGAGATGTATAGATGACATTTTTTCTTAAATATTTGACTTATTTCAACACCTTAGCTTTCATATCTAACATGTTTCATCTAATAAACAAAAAAACAACTGTATTTTAAATTTAGAATATAAATCTAAATAAATTTGTATTTTATTTAATTAGTAAATTGATTTATGCTGATGGGTCGGGGACGGGGCTTGTTTCTGAGGATCGGGTTCCAGATCTAGTTAAGTTTGAGGGGCTCTTCCTTCTTGTTGAACTTCTCCGGTTGTTTTTGGTTGTCGATAGCCCCTAGCCATCTTACTGTGATAGCCGTTGACCGAACCTAGCAATTCGCAAAGAGCATTTTGTAGTCGCCATTGCCCAATGCGTGTTCGGTAACAGCCGAATCTTCAGTGTCCTAGCCGTCAGCTTCCTTTGAGCTTCTTAAGCCTCGTTCCCATCGCTTTCTTAGTGGTTCTTATGTCCATATCCAGCATCGGAAATGGAAGGATATCTGAGGGAACTCACCACTCGAGCTTACGAAACGTTAGGATGGAGCTCCAACCGTCGACGGCCTTTAGACCCGCATCAGGACAGCAGTAGTATTTTTTTCGTTATTTTTATTGAAGGTAGGAAATGGGGTCTGTGGTAAAGTAATAAATTAAGAAACCAAAAAGAGACTCACCCTAGTTACCACAAAGCATTTTCACTTATTCTAAATGGATGCAGTTATGAACTGTCTCGGGCTGAACCCTGGTCAGTGATTTCTACTTAACGATTCGTTACTGTCCGTTTCTTTAAAACAGTTCTAGATACTGGTATGATATGTTCCTTGTTATATGTATACTTGTGTATTATCTTACTTCGTCCTCTTGGTTGCATCTTACTTGAAAGGACTGGATGATCTCTTGGTCGCTGGGTACAGGAGGAGTACTAGTGTCCACTTGCTGCATCACTTGTACCTGTCTTCACTATCAAAGTAGTTTCGGTTAATAATTATCTCGAGAGATAGAGCTACCAACATGCAATTTTCATAGTGCACGACTAAACTTTGAGCCCTCATAACTTTTCATGGGGGTGAGACCGCCGCAAAGTTTTTATGGTACAGTGGTAAACCTTACCGCCTCTTACAATCCCCCTGCTCCCACCCCCGAANAAAAAAATAATAAATTAAACCTTTAAATGTGAGTTAGATTAATTATGATTAATTTACAAATTTACAAGTATTAAACCAATTTTAATAAATGTATTAGTTATTTTTTAGTACTTTCCCTTTTGTGTAATCTTTCGTGTATGTTTTGTCTTGTTGGATCCGTAGATAGCACAACAGTCTAAATCTCTAAATTTGAAAGTATAACGCAGCTTTCCTATCCTCTCGTTCACTTAATACCCATACATTCCTTAATGCCTGCGTTATTTAAAATGTAAATTATATTTTACATGATGGAGAATGGTTCGAAATACAGTGAAACAGGCATGTAATTTTATCGAAATTGAAATAATCGGTTCAATTGCGTTTTTTGTGTCATGGCCTCCTCTTTTGTTTTTGTTTATGGAGAGGCGATGGAACAACTAGCTATCGATAAGCCCTAGTGGATACCTATGGTTATGCAGAAATTAAAATTGTGTAAAAATAAAAAGCAGGAAACAATAAATTTGGCTTGAACCCAATCCTACCGCATCCGATTTGTTTATTTAGCGTTCAAATAAAGCGGCCTATAACGTGCACGTAATGGGAAACTAACACGTTCGTTTGTTTAGCTACACGGTCATTTAAAGTTGAAATTATTGGACCTGCACCGAACGAACGTTGCGTCCGTCGGTTGTTGTAAAATCGTTTTAAAATCAGCAATAACCGCAGGCAAGAATCAAATCGCCCCAAAGCCTTTCGGCCGGATTCACGTGATTGGCAAAATTAGACTCGTGTTGTTGTCATCATCATTGTTGTTGTTATTGGTTGCTAGTACTTGTTAGTCGATTAAAATCGATTCGGATTACGAATATTACCGTATTAAAAGAACGATCCTCAAAAAAGTGATCCGTTTTTATTATTCGGAACTGTTTTTAATTAACTTTTGTTCAGATAAAAATTATTACCTAGTCGATTTGTTTGTTTCAAATTTCCGATTAAAGCTTGTCGTTACGGACTTTTTAAACTCTACTGTTCTATAGAAAGCATTCATATATGTATAAGGCTGCGTTCATAGAAGAAACGTTTTTATTTTAACCAAACAATATAAAACCTATGTCTATGAAGGCCCCTTGTAAATATTGATGAAACAATTTTTGAAATTGAATGAACTGTCTCGGATAGTAATGGGTAAAGCAATACTAAAACTGTTCCAGTCTTGGTATTGGTCTTGGACTTGTTTATTCGGTCTTGGTCTTACACAGAGCCGGGCAAACTCGGCTCTTTTGACCCCCGAGAGCTCCTCAGGTATAGCCAAGGAGCTCCTCATTGATCCTGCGAGTGCGAGTGAGATGATTCTTTCCTTTTCTTATCCCTTCCATTTCGTAGGTGAGACCCCCCTTCCATAGCCAAACCCAATAGTATTGCGAACGTAGTAACGAAAATTTTCGTAGGTATTATTTAAGTTGAGAGAGAGGCTTCGCTCGTCTACGGAATGAAGGGACTTGATATGGGAGTAGAAGGGAGAAAAAAAAGAGAAAACAATATGGGTCATTACTGCTTACTCTCTCGTACTCATTCTAGGGTATGGAGTGACTGAAACTAACCTCGGGTAGCGGCTCCTACGAAGTTAAAGTTTGCCCGGCTCTGGTCTTGCAGATATAGTCTAGGTCTTGACCTTAATGTTGCGTATTAAGTCTTAGGTACTCCGGGGAAATTCTTCTAGATCCTTTTTTTTTAAACAGTGGTAAAGTTTCTAAAGCAAACTAAAAATTTCAAATACCTACGAAGAATGTTCTTTTTTTCCAAGAAAGGAATATATTAAAGTTGCTTGAAATAGTTACCATCCCTCTCATAAATCCACCGGGAGTAATCATTTTTCTTTCAGTCTTGCGTATTCGGTATTGGTTTTAGTCTTGGTCTTGCTAGCATAAAGACTGCAACACTAAGACCAATTTTGCTTATCACTAGTTCCGGAGATTACCTCCCACAATTAAACTTACATTGTTAACTCCTTTATAATATTAATTATTATAGAAAAATTTACAACTACGGGAAAGTGTTCTGACTAACTGTAACTGATTGACCACTTTATTAGAATATTAAGCAACCTTTTATCGTAATTTAGGAATGTGGATTTTGAAATGTGAAGTCATCGAAAAATGGAAAACATTACGAATAATTAGATAGCCTTATGGAAGCGAGGAGCTTCTTCATGAAAAGTCTCCATTTCATGGGTCAAATCTGCTATCGTGAAAATTAATTTTATTATGCGAGTTATATTTAAGAAGAAATTGAGACGTATTTTATCATTTTTCGAATATCCGATTTGTGAGTGGCAAAGTTTTTCATTAAAATTCTAAATTTCATGAATTGAATGTATAGCATCAGCCGTAAAAGTTCCTTTTTTTATTTTATCATTTTTCAACATTTCGATTTACGAATTCGCTATGGTTTTGATAAGAATCGTAAAGAAACCTCAAGATTCGGAGTTCGAAGAAGTTATAAATGTGAAAAGACCTCACAGTGATCTTATAATAAATGGGATTCAGCGAAATCGATTAAATTCTTGATATGTCATAGCCCTCATAAGTGCGATCAAAAGTCTTATTAGTTACAGTAGTTCATATACCTTATTTTTGCCCCTAGAGGGTGCCGTACCTCTGGAGGTTTATTACCAATGAAGTACCTAAAGCTTAAATATAAAGGGAAGCTTAATAATAGTCTTCTAAAACCATAGGTAAACGATAGTTAAAATGAAAATTGATTGACGCCAGCATTCTCAACTGTTTGTGCTCTCTGAGTGAAAATACGGTACAAGGTTTCAGTCATCAAACCAATGCCAATCTATGATGTACCTACCCGATGATTCCCAAACCGTATGGACCAGTGGGCACCTCTTCCTTCCGACTTTTCACTCCTGCTTCGCGGACCTCACTTAATCTCACTCGCGGATTTCAATTAATTCTTTTCTCTTATTTACCTTCGCACTTGATAGGATCCCATGTAGTGTTTGCTTTCGTCATCGTCACATGGAACCTAGGAATTCTGTCTCGGTACACATGTCTTGTGTATCGGCTTCGTGCTTTCGACCCAATATACCTCGGAACTATAAAAAATGCAATTGCCCACGGTAGTTTCGTGTTTTGAAAGTTAGGTAGACTTAATTCCGGGAAAATGAAAAATATACTTTTGTAAATTGCGAATACGACTATGTGACAATGCTGGATTGAAAGAATTGAGTAATTAATTATAACTCTAGCATCTAACTGTCACATGACGTCACATTAGGCCCGCTAAAATTTATTGTTAGTTACATCATTTATAATATAGTTGCTAATTATAAATATATTTTTCACAGGTTTTGCTCAATTTTCCGACCCTCCAGGGGATGAAATCGATCAAATGCAAAAACCGAACGGACAGCTGGTACTCACCTCCACCACGTCCACAGCGGATGGCTCCTCTTTATCCACCGAACCTAATAGCAATGTGATCCTTCTGAGGAGTTCTAAGCTTCTCGACCATAGTCACATCCTTCTAAGGACTGACAACGTTAGCTTCGAAAAGACCGATATAGTCTTGGAAAACAACAGTGCGGGCGAGAGTAAAGTTAGTCAGTTAATCGTAAATCAACGAGATCTTGCTAAAGGGGTCGTGTTTCATTCGATCAAAAGGCTCGGCAACGGTGCCCCATTTTTATTACTTAGCGGTGATGATAGTGCTAGTGGACATATACTGATACAGACCAGTGAGGAGCCTGTGAAAAGTGGCAAAGTTGTGAAAATTGAAGCGTCGGACGAGATCACGGTAGAGAAAGCACATGATGAAGTTGAACTGGTTGGACGAAATCTTCCTATTGGATCAGGTAAGTCGACATTTTCCTTTCTGTAATGATATAAAATGCGGTTTTACAACTATATACGTTTTATCTTCATTATGGAAAATAGCTATCAATAAGAAGTGTCTTCAAAGCTGTCTTTTCTATATGGATTTGAATTGTTCTGTTTCTGCCTGTAGATAGACTATTTATACGTTGCCTGCGTATCCATGACTTTGTCTTCAATTTTGATTATTTTGTCATACTAAAAAAGGTGATTGCCATAAAAATTTTTGTTTAGAAAAGGTTTTTGGTTAGAAGCGTTTGAAATGTGGTGTTACAGGCGAATGATAAGGATACCGTGGATAGAGAAGGTTAGAAATGAAGAGATGTTAGAAAGAGTAAGAGAACAGAGGACTCTATGGAAGTCAATAAGAAATAGGCGAGATAGATTAGTAGGACACCTTCCTAGGCATGAAGGTCTAGTCAGAGACATATTAGAGGCAGAAACTGATGTTAAGAGGTGCCGAGGTAGACCTAGATTAAATTACTTATCGCAAATGGTTAAGGATGTGGGTTGCTCTAGCTTTAGGGAAATGCGAAGATTAGCTCAGGATTGGAAAGAGTGGAGGTGCGTGTCCAACCAGTCTGAGGACTGACGACCTTATGATGATGATTATTAAAATTCAATACCCTTATTCTTACGGCAAACATGTTTCTTCTTTTGTCTTCACATTTGTTCAGAGACCGTTCTTCTTGATGCAGTTCATAAAGTTCCAGTGTACAATTTTTAGAATATTTTGCAAATTTACAAGGCGGCGTTGTGCTTATTTGATAGTAGACCCTTCGAGGATGGCTAGATGCAACAGTTCTATGGTTAAATTAGTTTATAGAGGTAACGGTTCAGGAAGGATCCTTTACGATCCCCAATTCAATTTCATTTTATTATGTAGTGTTTATTTTAAGGGTTTAACAGTTAGAAAGTGCCGTTTGTTTATCATTTGATGTAGCCGATTTTTCACAGATTGTAAGAATCTCTCTCTTGCAATTTTTGAGTTTTAAAGGTCCGCCTTATCAGTTTGCCGAAATGTTTTAAAGGGTTAATCACCAATGGTGATATTCGCCACACCCTTGACGTTTTCCTCCCAAGTTTAAGTTTTATATACAAGAAGTGACAAGCACTTGAACTAGAACCGAGCGGCATGGCCTAAAGGTTTAGACCATTGCTTAGCATTCGGGAGGACGCCGGTTCGATTCCGGGTCCATCTGCCTTGATCCAAGTTTTTCTGTGGTTTTCTTGGATCACTTAGGCAAATGCTGAGGCAGTAATATTCCACAGATAATTTTTCATTCTCTTCTGTCTTCATTTCGTCCGTCTCATCTTTCTCACCCCAACCACCACCCACCTATTCCCACGATTCTTGGAAGCAGGCTGAAGAGGGCCTTCCGCCCTACCTTCTGGCATAGTCCGGAAAGACTGCCCGCCCACCAGCATTACTGGCTGGTGGGAATGAAACATCCAAAAGTTTTAACTTTTTTTTCTTGAACTAGGACTTGCACTTTTCTAGTTAATCATTACTAATCATTCGTTGGAGATACTCTGTAAATATTTGTAAATATATATCTAATGAGTCGACTTCGCTGCAAGAATTCTATTATTCTACCTTCCACCCCAGAATTAAGCAACACGCCTTATCAATTTAACGCGTGTGCTGATATTCCCCTTGCAATAGTAAGTTCTCGAATATCTGCCTGTAAAACTTAACAACATTCCTCTGGTTTTAAAAGAAAAATGCATAGTTGATAGTAACTTCTACTTTTTTTACCTTTTGTTCTGAAGTTGGTGTTGTTTGTTTTGTACTTGCGGTTTTAATACGTTTTAGAGAATCGCTCTCATCTAATTTCGGGAATTAACATTTTAGTTTGTTTAACTTATCCCATAACAATAAAAAGTCGATAAAAGTGATTGTTATAATAATCTCTTTGTTTTCAGAAGCGAATTTTGCTAGTCGTGAAAGCATATACCACGCTTTAACGATTTTACATTGGCGTTTACTTTTTTTATAACTCTTCATGTAAAATCGTTCGATTTTATGACATAGGAAAATATGAATGCAGTCAAGCATAAAGCACCCACGTTCTTGCTTCGTATACAAAATGGCATGTGTTTTAGATACTTCTTTGTTTTTAAATTTTTCAAATTCAACTACTAAGTGGTATGTAAATGTAGAGAAATTTAGCAATCAATAAACAGGCGGTGTTTTTTTAGTAGGAAACTCAAAGCCAAGGCTCCTACCATTTTAAATAACCTTTAGCTACTTGTACACTAACGATTCCCCAACTGATAATCACTGTTTTTTACAGTGAAGTGTTTCTGCATATAGGATGTACCTATTAACCAGGTAATATTCGCAGTATGCTTCGACATAAAATGGGGCGAAGCAGTATGTACTATATATAACACGTAACGAATTGTCCGATTCTTCATGCATGAACATTGTGACAAATTTGAACTATACCCATAAAGTCGTTTAAGAGAAGAAGCGTGTTAACCGAAAGTCCTGAATCGGCTTGCTTCGCCCCAATTAACGAAACTAATTTATCCCATAACTTAACCAAAGAGGTAGTAAAAAATTAAATTCTTTTTCAACTACTACAATCAAATAAAATAATTCGAAGTGGTCTGCATTCTACTATTACTACTACTACTATTCGTGCTACAGATGGCGTTTACCGCGCCATTTGTAGTATTTTCTAAATCGCACCGTTAAGACAGCAGGTAAAAGTTGGTCTGGGTTCAGTCGGAGTTGCCTGCGACGCGCTGATGAGATCCAAAAAGATCGAAATCGCGATCCGCGTCTGGCAGTTTCGACAGAATACAGACCACTTCGAATTATTTTATTCGATTAAGCTAACGTGCCTATCACGTTGAGGTTGGCTACGCCGGGATTCGTTTTCAGCAAGTAGATATCCACACAAGTGCATACGTAATCCTAAAATGTAGCATCGTACTACAGATGGCGTTTACCGCGCCATTTGTAGTATTTACTACAATCAAAATGGAAGTCAAATTATCGAACAGTAGAAAAGAATTATATACTTTTAAAAATTAAGAGAATTGCCAATGCAGGTCAGAAATATTCGCACCCTTATCGTGGATGAAACATTCCTAAAAGGGTGGAAAACCATTCCCAAAAATGTACGTGTACACGGTCACTTCCCCTTACATCCATTTTCAAAATATACAAATTCACAAATAAAAAATGCAAACATATTTACAGAAAATACAAAGCGTAATCTAAGTATTTCTTTATCAGCCCAAACTATAAGCTAATACAAAACATAAAATTTATTCCACCCTCTCATCTTTCAATTCATCTCATTCTAGTTCCAAAATCTTTTTTAATATGATCAGTCCATCCCCACATCCGTTTATCCCTTACATCTATTCAAATCCTTACATTCATCACATCCCCTCAGTACATACATTAAAGTTTCATCACCACCGTTGCATATTCTACATATCCTTTCTTCTTGTTCATGAAATACTTACACACTCTATTTTCGTTTCCTACCCTACTAAACCATGCTATTACGTCCAAATCTTTCTTCTATTTCACATACTCTGGTTCACTGTCACCTTGCTAATGCTTTCATTACAAGACTGTCATGCATTTCACATATTTCAACTTACCAATTTTTCTCCAATCATCCCCTTTATCATCTTTCCATATTTTATTTTCAACATTTTTTCTGCACACATTTCCACCTTCATCTATTCATTTAATTGTCCAATGTGTTCCAAAATAATAATAAATGTAATTTTGTATTACGATTTCGTGTAGCAGTTTTGCATTTTTTGAAAGTTGAGTTGAGTTTATTTCGGATTCATATTTTTCAATATCTTGTTTGTCTTGACCATAATTGTCATTTTAATTGGTTGATCTTGAAAGCTTGCTTTTATCTAAAATGGATACGCTTTAATTTTCTTGTGGTCATTTATAGTCCCCGGCTGTGCGAGGAGATCCTTGGCATCTCCATTGACCGTATCCATGACCAGAACCATAACCATAATCATCATCATATCCGAAGGTATTAAAAAGCTGTTAAAAAGTTACTACGGACTCATTGTGACTTCCTTTTTTGTAACCATGCTTCATAATTTAGAACCTTGTACATAAGAGCTTCATATTTTCCTGACAAAAATATTCTCCATGCTTTGAGAGATTGGAATAAGTCATACATATGATATATACGGTTTTTGAAGTTTTTGTGTTGAAGTCTACTGTGATTATTACGTTTTCCTGTCCTCTTACTAAACTTAACACGTACATCTTCGTCACCATAAGCAAAAGTAGGTATATAGACTTGCGTTATTGCCGTTCTGATTCTAGTCCATCAATATCAATTTTTAAAGTTTCTAACTTCTCAGCTGCTTGTCTCATGGTTCTAACATTCCACGCGCCAACTCCTGAAATACGAGGGTGGATTGATAAGTTTCCGGCCTAACCAAGAGATGACGCCACTAGGCCTACCTTGAGGTGACATTCTATAGTACCATCCTTGGATAGCTTGTAGCTATAGTTTCAGCCCGATCTCCTTGCTAGTGTAGGTTTGACAGCACGCTGAACAAGACGCCTCTGTGGTTTTCGTAAAAATGGAAAAGCAGGAAAATCGTGCTGTCATCAAATACTTTTATTTGAAGGGGTTAACGCCGAAGGAAATTAAAAAAGAGATGGACTCAACACTGGGGACATCCTCCCCGTCATATTCAACCGTTAAGCAGTGGGTTTCCGAGTTTAAAAAGGGTCGTGTGAGCACCTCTGATGGGCCTCGCTCAGGACGCCCCGTTGAGGTCACAACTCCAGATATGATCGAAAAAATTCATCAAATAGTGCTGGGAGACCGCAGATTGAAAGTGCGTGAGATAGCTGAGACCTGTAAGATGTCATATGAACGTGTGCAACATATTTTGCACCAACATTTGCATATGGAAAAGCTCTGTGCAAGATGGGTGCCGCGTTTGCTAACAGTCGACCAAAAATTGA